TCCTGCTCCTGCAGCAGCCCCGCCTCTGCTCCCCCTCCCACTCCTGGGGAGGTGTCGCCTCCTTTCCAGTGCCGCCGCTGGCCATAGGCCCTCACAGCCGCCGTGGCGTTGTTCACATGGACATCTGCTCTAAGTAGCATATTATCCTTTTCTTAGTATAGATATCAGATTGGAGTTCTGTATGTAAAATTATAAACAAGACAAATGAATATATATTTGAAAAAAAAGGGGTTTGCTTTAAAAAGAAATGAAAACCAGTATAAAACATTAGGACTATGGGAGAAAATATTTGCAAATCATATATCTGATAAGGGTCTAGTATCCAAAATGTATGTCTTACAACAATACAAAGACAACCTAATTAAAAATGGTCAAATGATGCCCAGCCAGTGGGGGTCAGTGTTTGAGCACCACCCTGTGAACCAGGAGGTTATGGTTCAATTCCCAGTCAGGGCACATGCCTCGGTTATGGGTTCGATCCCCAGTGGGGGGCGAGCAGGAGGCAGCCGATCAATGATTCTCTCTCATTGTTGATGTTCCTTTCTCTCGCTCAAATCAATAAAAACTTATTTTTTTAATGGTCAAAGGACTTGAATAAACATTTGTCTGAAGAAGATACAATACAAATGATCAGTAGACACATGAAAACGTGCTCAACATCATTAGTCAAAGAAATGTAAATCAAAAGCACAATGAGTTATCCTAGATGGCTGTAATAAAAATTTAGAAAAGGAAAAGTGTCGGTGAGGATGTAGAAAAATTGTAATCCATTGTACATTGCCAGTGGGAATGCAAAATTATTTCAATGCTGTGGAAAACAGTTTGGCTTTTCTTAAAATGTTAAGCATAGAATTTCCATATGAGCCTGTCCTCAAAATTTTAAACATAGAATTGCCATACGAAACTAATTTCACTCCTAGGTATATATCCAAAAGAATTGAAAACAAGTATTCAAATAAGTACATGAACATGAATGTTTGTGGCAGCATTATTCACCATTGCCAAGAGGTGGAAATAGTTGAAATATCTAGCATTAAGTGGATAAATAAACTGTGGCATATACATACAATGTAATATGACTCAGCCATAAAAATGAATAAAATACCAATACATCCTAAAACGTGAGTGAACCTCCATAACATTATGCTAAGTAAAATAAACCAGATACAAAGTCACACATTGTATAGTTCTATTTATATGAAATATCCAGAATAGATAATATTGTAAAGATGGTGGTTGCCAGGAAGAGGAAAGGGAAGAATGGGGAAAAACTCTTAATGGGTAAAGGGTTTTATTTTGAAGGAATAAAAATGTTTTGGAACTAGCCCTCGCTGGTTTGGCTCAGTGGATAGAGCTTCAGCCTGTGGACTGAAGGGTAGGGTTTGATTCCCATCAAGGGCATGTATCTCAGTTGCTGGCTCCTCCCTGGGCCCTGGTCAGGATGCCTGCAGGAGGCAACCAATCGATGTGTTTCTCTAGGTCTTTTGCTCTCTCTTTCCACTCTCTCTAAAAATCAATGGTAAAATATCCTCAGGTGAGGATTTTAAGAAAAATGTTTTGGAACTAAATAGAGGTGTTAGTGGCACAAATTATGTCTATACAAAATACCACCGAATTGTTCACTTTAAAATGGTTAATTTTATGTTCTATGAATTTCATCTCAATAGATTATTTAAAAAGAAAAAATTTAAGACTTCTGTTACCTTTTTATCTGTTTTAAAGTAGGCTTAAAAGAATTTTCTAAGAAAAATTATGAATCTGCCTGCATTTACTCTGTTGGTTTTATCATACTTTAGTAGGGTAGCTATCAAAAAGTGCAGACTTTGGGTAATTTCTTGAATTTTAAGAATATAACAGCAAGGTCACTTGCCTGGCTGGAGCTACATGGCCCTGCTTAGAGAAAATATTCTCCACAGAAACTTGACAGAGAATAAAACCTCTGGATTCTACCACTTAATTCCTATTTAAGAATTCAGTTGAGAGAAGTGAGGTCTTCAGGGATAAGATTATACGGTAAGATAAAAAGACTAGTGGCCCGGTACACTGGGCCTCTAGTAGTTTTTCTATTTTTAAATAGTTGAAAAAATCAATAGGATAGTATTTTGTGGCATGTGAAAATTTTATGAAATTCAAATTTCAGTGTCCATAAATGAAATTTTATTAGCACACAGTGACACTTAATTGTTGATGTATGATCTATGCTGCTTTTTTTCTACAGTAGCAAAATTGCGTAGCTAAGACAGAGAACCCTGTAGCCTGCAACAATTAACGTACTTACTGCTCTTCACAGAAAAGGTTTTCTGACACCAGGTATACACTAATAGAAGCGTTTTGTTTATTATACCTGATTCCCGCTCACTAAATGCCATCTCCCATGCTTGGGTGTGGAGGGTAAGTCAGGAGGCTGGTGGGATAGTACCTCTTCTAGTTGAGACCTACCACATACTATATAACCTACTATGTAGTGTCTCCTTTGTTGATCTTCATAAGAATCATACCAAATTTCTCTTAGATCTCTGCATTAGGAAATGTTGTGTTTCTCTTGGTTTGAACCTGATAATTGATTATGTTTCCTTTTGTTGAGGCATCTGGAAAACAGCCAAAATGTTTGGAAATAGAGCCTGTCTTTAGTAGCTATATGAAAACTTATGATCTGAATTTATAAATAGGTATTATCTTGACTTCAGGTTATTTTCCTACATTTATTTTTCACTTTACCTGCTTTGTATATCTATTTTTCAATTCTATTATACTGCTTGTATTCTTCAGTTTCTGTAAATACTTTCTGGAACAAAATTTAATTCAATAACAAATATTAACTGAATGAGCAACCTCAGCAAATACTTTTTAATCTAAAATTTTCACTTTGCCGCTCTCATCTTACTAGAATGCAGATTAGTGATCTTTTGTTGTTTGTTTTGTTTTTGTTTTTTGTTAATATCCTCACCCAAGGATATTTTTCCCATTGATTTTAGAGATACATTGATTGATTGCCTCCTGCATGTGCCTGACCAACCCAGTATGTGCCCTTGACCAGGAATCCAACCCAAAACCCTTTGGTGCACTGGCCAATGCTCTAACCACTGATCCACACCAGCCAGAGCAAATGCAGATTAGTAATTATTAATAGCTAAATATTATGCTAAGTACTATACTTGGTTTATCTCATTTAGTTCTGAGAACAGCCATATAAGGTAAATATTGCTGGTACCAATATTCTATATCTGCAGTAGCTTGAGTTTTAAGAGAGATTAAGAAACTTGCTCAAAATGTCCCACACAGTAAGTGCTGGAGCAGTGCTTTAAGCTTAGGTAGTATAGGCTCCAGTAATGGAACTTTTTTGACAGTACCTTATACTGGTATTTTTTAAAACATTTTTAGCAGTGGAATTGCTATTTTAAATAAGATTCTAATTTTTAAAATTACAATAATAAGACATAAAAGTGGTATTATTAATAAATTTATTTTTTATAAGTTGAAATGTATATTATTTACTTGTTAAGAAAGATTATTCAGGCCCTAGCCGGTTTGGCTCAGTGGATAGAGTGACAGACAGCCTGTGGACCAAAGGGTCCCGGGTTTGATTCTGGTAAAGGGTACATACGTTGGTTGCAGGCTCCTCCCTGACCTGGGCCCGGGTCAGGGTTCGTGCAGGAGGCAACCAATCGATGTGATTCTCTCATATCAATGTTTCTTTCTGTCTTTCCCTCTCTCTTCCATTCTCCCTAAAAATCAATGGAAAAATATCCTTGGATGAGGATTAACAAAAAAAAGAAAAGAAAGATCATTCAGTCCTGGCCAGTGTGGCTCAGTTGGTTGTGGGTCATCCCATGCACTAAAAGGTTGCTGGTTGCTGGTTCAATTCCGGGTCAGGGCACATGTCCAGATTGCAGGCTTGATCCTCGGTGGGGGTCATGCGGGAGACAACTGGTGGATATTCTGCTCTCACATCGATGTGTCTCTCTTCCTTCCTCTTTCTCTAAAAATCAAGTTAAAAAAACAAAACAAACAAAATTTAAAAAACTAGTCTGTAAAAAAAGAAAGAAAGATAATTCTAGTTTGTTTCTAGTTTTAGTTGGGTGGTATGGAGAAAATCTTCATTCAGGCCTTATTCACATATGAAAATAGTTAAACTATTATAATACATGTTTACATTTTAAAAATTTAAACATTATAGAAGTGTATTACATAAAAGATGAAAGTTTTCCGTAATTTCCACTACCCTCAGAAATAACCACAGATAACATTTTTGATGGTAGAGGTATGCCTCTCACATTCTTTTAATTTGAAAGAAGAGTAAATCAAAGTTGATTCACAAAGGTTTGCATTCTCTAACATAAATATAATCAAAGAACTGTAATTATTAATGATAGTTGATAGTACAACATAGGATAAGATGGTCATTTATTTACTCATTCTAGCTGATTTATGTTATGATACGAGCACTTTGAGCAGAAATCTTTCCTAACCTTTAGTTTACCATTGTACATATGAGTAGATTTACACAGCCTAGCATCTCTTCACTGCAAAAATAATTCTTACTCAGTGACCATTTTGCAAGAAGATAACATATGCATACAAAGATAGCACAGGAATCTATATTCTTTGGCCTGCCTCAAACGGGGTTAATGTAGCAACAAAATTACCAGTTGGTGATTCCTAATATGTAATATAACACTTTTTAAAATATATATATGTTTATTGATTTCAGAGAGGGAGGGAGTGGGAGAGAGAGAGCTAGAAACATCAATGAAGAGAGAGAATCATTCATCGGCTGCCTCCTGCATGCCCCCTACTGGGGATGGAGCCCGCAACCTGGGCATGTGCCCTTGACTGAAATTGAACCCAGGACCCTTCAGTCCGCAGACCAACGCTCTGTCCACTGAGCCACACCAGCTAAGACAATTGATGTGTAATTTAAATAGGAAACAGCTCTACCAGGCCTTGGGATTTTGCAGAACAGAGTTTGGGTACTACTGGCTTGGATTCTCAAGAATTGGCAGTTGTTTCTTTCCCAGGATCATTTAATTTTTATGAATCCTGTTTATTGTAATTCTTCAATCTTCTAAATGTTATGGGACAGAATTGTAAGAAAAGGAGTGACTATATAGTAAGATTCTATTTTTAAGGTTCTATTTTCTATTTTGGTGTAGTTTGAGGCTCATATTTTTACTAATATCCACTCTTTTATGAATCCGCAGGAGGTACCAGTTCTAGTTTCTTTTTGTACAAGTGGTTGCAATATGTTAACAGTTTCTAAAGTCTTTATAGGAAATAGTAGTAACCCTTGCCAGTAGGATAAAAAAAGATTTTTTTTTTGAGTCATAAAAAGCAGCCAGTTGAGCCCTAGCCCATTTGACTTAGTGGATAGAGTGTAGGCCTGCGGGCTGAAGGGTCCCAGATTCGATTCCAGTCAAAGGGCATGTACTTCAGTTGCAGGCTCCATTCTTGGCCCTGGACAGGGCTCGTGTGGGAGGCAACCAATCGAAGTGTCTCTTTCACATCAGTGTTTCTCTCTCTCCGTCTCTTCCCCTCCCTTTCATCCTCTCTAAAAATCATTGGAAAAATATCCTCAGGTGAGGATTAACAAAAATAAAATAAAAAGCAGCCTGTTGAGAAGAAATAGAGGTAAAAAGTAAGACCTCAAAAAATATTTTTTTCTTTTTGCCTACTGAACCTGCCCCAATCCTGGATCAAATCCACAACCTGAGTAATGTGTCCTGCCCGGGATTCGAACCCACGGCATTTTGGTGTACTGACAACACTCCAACCAACAGATGCAAGTTGGCCGGGACCTTCCTAACTTTTTTTTTTTACTTTTCCTTACATTCTTTAAGTCCTAGGAATCTTTGTCCTTTTCCCTCCATTCTTTTTATCTCCCATCTCCATTTGTTTTATATCAGTTCCACTAGGCTGATCTTTGTGTAGCCTTATGTGTATTTGTAAGAATGTGCTGATTCTCATTCCGTGATGTTAGAACATACTAATCTTTTATATGAGACATGAATATAACACTATTTAGCCATTAAGCTAAATAATGCGTTTAGATTTAAGATAAAACATTAAGATTAAAAACATTTTGCCAACCATGACTGAAAGATACCATGATAAACTTAGTACATATATGTTTATAGAAATATTTTTTTACATTAACCTAGACATTTAGTAACTTACTATTAAATCTAAAGAAGGAAATAACCTGTTACATGCATACACAACCTGTGAGTGATATTTATAACTTCAAAGCAATTTTCTAACCTTGTTGACTTCTCATCTTCGTAATCCTCGAAATCAGGTTCTTTACCCTGTAAAACTAAGTTGGTTTTCTGTCCTTGGATAACATTCCTTTGTTTATTCTGGAAATTAGGGATTAGGAAGCTATAAAGATGGTTTAATGTTAGGTTTTAAAGATCCTGGAATGTCATTCTAAAGTTTTTAGATTTATTCATTAGACATTGGAGTGCCATTGAATATTTTGGTTCAATTGATTTCAGAAATGGGACTATAATTTAATAAAACATATTAGGAAGCTTGATTTGGTAGGATGTAATATATATGATCAAATTGAAGACAAGCTTAAGCTGAAAAATCAGTCAGCTTTTTACAGTAATATTTTGAGAGGTGGAGGCAGAATGGGAAAGAGGAAAATTAATGTGCATTTAACAAAATTGCATTTTCTTTTTCTGTTCTTTTTTCAGGATCCTCTCATTCATTTACCAGAAGATGTGATAACAAGAACTTACAACATTTTTGCTATTATGTTTCATTATGCAGTAGAGATATTAACCTGGGAAAAAGAAAGTGAATTACCAGCAGATTTAGAGATGGTGTAAGTATAACCACTTATTTTTTTGTATTTGTATTTCCTCACACTCAGTTTTAACCATTTTTCTTCTAATTCCTCATGTTAAATTTAATATAGCTAGGATAGAACATAATCTTTTCTTTTGCAATAATTAATTTTCAGCAGAACAGTAATCTTGATTTTATACTTTTAAAATATGTGTGATCCTCTTAATTGGTAGCAGTTTCTCCCTGTTGGTTGGTTGGTTTAGTTGGTATCTACACTAATAAAAGAGAAACATGGTAATTGGCGTACGACCGCTACCCTTCCCATTGGCTAATCAGCGAGATATGCAAATTAACTGTCAGCCAAGATGGCAGCCGGCAGCCAGGCAGCTTGAAACTGACATGAGGCTTGCTTGCCTCAGTGACGGAGGAAGCCAACGTTCCCTGCCTGCCACTGCAGGCCTCTGAGCCTGCAGTTTGAAACACTTTAACAAATACCACCGGACTT